ATTACACAGCCATAAAAAGGAATGAAGCACAGATCCATACTCTGTGGATGAAACTTCAATACATGATACTGAATGAAAGACGTCACACGAAAGGTCACCTAGTGTATGATTCTTTTATATGAAATTTCTAGAACAGGCCAGTCTGAAGAGATGTAAAGCAGATTGGTGGCTTTCAGGAGCTGTGGGGAGGTGGGACTGAGGAGGACCTGCTAATCAGGACAGGGTTTCCTCCTGGGATGTGGAAATGTTCCAGACCCAGATAGTGACAAAGGGAGCATGACATTGTGAGTACACTAAATGCTATTGAACTGAACACTTTGAAATGGTGAATTTTGTGTTATGTGAATTTTACCTCAATCAGAAAAAATGCTATTTTATCTCACATATTTTTTTTCTGTCTGGGTTGTTCACATAATATATGGTGAGCATCTTTCCATGACATTAAATCATCTTACGAAACATTATTTTGTGGTCTTCAACATGTGTATTATCTATGTATCGATCAGTCCAAGTGTTCAAATCAGTCTTAATTTTTAAAAAGACATTATGTTAGAAAATAAAAGTGCTCGTCCCTCCGCCAGGCAAGCAGCGAGCACGCGCGTCCCCGCCGCGCCCGCCCCTCCCCCCGCGCCCGCCCCTCCCCCCGCGCCCGCCCCTCCCCCCGCGCTGGCTTCGGAACTTGCTGACTGCGTGGCCGGGAGGCCACAGCGCGCGGGGTCTCCCCCGTCCCCTCCGCCTCGCAGGGAGCTCGCGCCCTCGCCCAGCCAAGCTCCCACCCCCACCCTTTTTTCCGAAGGCGCGGGGCGGCGCCACCCTCCGGCCGGAGCCCGGCACTGCACAACCCCCTCCGACTTCCAGCGTTCCACACTCCCCGGCCAGAGCCTCCTCGGCTTCTTTTTTTCCCTCCCCTGTTTTTTTTTTTTTCTCTCTCCCTCCCCCACACCGTAGCGGCGCGCGAGCGGGCCGGGCGGGCGGCCGCGTTTTCCAACAGATAACGTCACCAAGATGTCCAGTGACAGGCAAAGGTCCGATGATGAGAGCCCCAGCACCAGCAGTGGCAGTTCAGATGCGGACCCGCGAGACCCAGCCGCTCCAGAGCCTGAAGAACAAGAAGAAAGAAAACCTTCTGCCACCCAGCAGAAGAAAAACACCAAATTCTCTAGCAAAACCACTGCTAAGTTATCCACGAGTGCTAAAAGAATTCAAAAAGAGGTAGCTGAAATAACCCTTGATCCTCCTCCTAATTGCAGTGCTGGGCCTAAAGGAGATAACATTTATGAATGGAGATCAACTGTACTTGGTCCACCGGGTTCTGTATATGAAGGTGGTGTGTTTTTTCTGGATATCACATTTTCATCGGATTATCCATTTAAGCCACCAAAGGTTACCTTCCGCACCAGAATCTATCACTGCAACATCAACAGTCAGGGAGTCATCTGTCTGGACATCCTTAAAGACAACTGGAGTCCCGCTTTGACTATTTCAAAGGTTTTGCTGTCTATTTGCTCCCTTTTGACAGACTGCAACCCTGCGGATCCTCTGGTTGGAAGCATAGCCACTCAGTATTTGACCAACAGAGCAGAACACGACAGGATAGCCAGACACTGGACCAAGAGATACGCAACACAATTCACATAATTTGTATGCAGTGTGAAGGAGCAGAAGGCACCTTCTCACTGTGCCGCAAATCTTTATAGCCTTTACAATACGGACTTCTGTGTATATGTTATACTGATTCTACTCTGCTTTTATCCTTTGGAGCCTGGGAGACTCCCCAAAAAGGTAAATGCTATCAAGACTTTGTAGCTGTAGATTAGTTATGTTTAAAACGCCTACTTGCAAGTTTTGCTTCTTTGGGATGTCAAAATGTATTTTGTGATGTACTAAGGATACTAGTCCTGAAGCCTACCAAATATTATAGTGCATTTTAGCCTAATTCATTATCTGTATGAAGTTATAAAAGTAGCTATACATGACTAGGAATTATGTCATTTGTATTAAATCCAGATCTGAGTATGTGGTTCATGCTGTTGTGAAAAATGTTTTACCTTTTACCTTTGTCAGTTTGTAATGAGAGGATTTCCTTTTACCCTTTGTAGCTCAGAGAGCACCTGATGTATCATCTCAAACACAATAAACAGGCTCCTGAATGCATTTAAAAAAAAAAATAAATAAATAATAAAAGAAAAGTGCTTTGTCTCACTTCGTAAGAATTATCTTCATACACCATAACTTTTAGTAATAAATTGAGTTATTCTTCATCAAGTAACTTTTGGGGTAGAGATTTCATTTTTATAGCAAATAGATGCGCAAACATTCATGTAAAATACAAGTGTTCATAGAACAGGTGTGGTACGGAAACTCCACAGACATGAATGTTTTGGTTGTATTAACAGAAGTAGATCACTGAGAAGGAAGAAGGTGACATTTCAGCTCCCCCCAGGTAAATGCTGATTTCATCCTTACACTGATCTTAAAATCTTAAAGATTGGAGATGAACTCACTTGCTCTACGTCACTCGGTGAAGTGGGGACCTGGGAGTGAATCTGAGCAGTTTGGCATCAGAGGCCATGCCTTATCAAGAACATGATTTTCAAAGTGGGTTTCAGCCCTAGGCACATCAGATCACTGGGCACCCCTACAGACTACAGACAGTAGGTGAGACTTCTCACAAATGGAGCCTACATTTGCTTTTGTGTTTGTTTGTTTGTTTCTTAGGTTTTTTGTTTTTTTGGCTTTTTGAGACAGAGTCTCCCTCTGTCTCTCAGGCTGGAGTGCAGTGGCACAATCATAGCTTACTGCAACCTCAAACTCCTGACCAAAGGTGTGAGCCACTCCTCTCGGTCCCACTTTTTTTTTTTTTCCCTAAAGACAGTGTAGGGTTAATATAAGAAAGGTCATGCCCAGTGTTTGCTCTAAGTTTCTTGGACCTTGGGAACTAAAGTTATCATTTCTTTGGCAGTAAGCCCGGGGCATTAGGAGCTCATGATGACCCTGGCTTATGTCCGAGGAGCCGGGAATCTGGCCAATTCCCGTCTCTTTGAGAACCGTAAACAAAGCCAAGGATTGCTGTTACATAATGATAATGTTCGTGAGCGACAAGACAAAGAGCAGCTGGTGTTTACTATAACCTAAGTTAAACTGCAACATATAAAATATAGACAAAAACCAAAGAAGGACGGAAAGAGGGAAAAAGAGAGAGAGGAAGAAAAAGATTGCTGAGAGCTGTGACTTGCGCCTTGCCCGTGCTGCTGTAACGCCGGTGCTGAAGAGAGAGAAAGAGAGAGATTGCTTAGAGTTCTGACTTGCGTTTTACCCGTGCTGCTACAACGCCGGTGTTGAGTGTCCGGACGGACGGTCTCTGGGTATGTCCCTTTTGTAAATAAAATCCTCTTCTTTTACCTATATCCTTTTGTAAATAAAATCCTCTTCTTTTACCTTGTTATTTTCGGCTTGGTGTTTTCTTCTCGCGAACCTGCCTCCAAATTATAAATCCGAGCTCGGTATCATTTCTGTTCTTAGTAACAGAACAGACAGAGAGTCTTACTGTGTCACCCAGGTTGGAGTGCAGAGGCACCATCTCAGCTCACTGAAACGTCTGCCTCCTGGGTTCCAGTGATTTTCCTTCCTCAGTCTCCCACTACAGGCACCCACCACCATACCTGGCTAATTTTTGGATTTTTAGTAGAGACAAGGTTTCACCACGTTGGCCAGGCTGGTCTCGAACTCCTTACTCAGGTGATCCACCAGCCTCGGCCTCCCAAAGTGCTGGGAGTATAGGCATGAGCCACTGAGCCCAGCCCCAAATTTTTAAATGTAATATTGTTGACCAGAAATACATTCACTCATGTAAAAAATAAAATGCTGGCCGGGCATGGTGGCTCATGCCTGTAATCCCAGAACTTTGGGAGGCAGAGGCAGGTGGATCACGAGGTCAGGAGTTCGAGACCAGCCTGACCAACATGGTGAAATCCCGTCTCTACTAAAAAAAAAAATACAAAAATTAGCGTGGCGTGGTGGCAGGCGCCTGTAATCCCAGCTACTCTGGAGGCTGAGACAGGAGAATCGCTTGAACCCGGGAGATGGGGGTTGCAGTGAGCCGAGATCTAGCCATTGCACTCCAGCCTGGGCAACAGGAGTGAAATTCTGTCTCAAAAAAAAAAAAAAAAAAAAAAAAGATTATGTAGAATAAAAAAAAAG